CCCCCCCCCCCCCCCTAGTTCCCCCATCCCATCCCATGATGAGAGCGAACATCAAGCACAGGCCATACTAATGTCGCATCATGCTTGTTCAGTACAAATGGTGCATTCACACATACAACGTGCAGCAATCAGCGTGGACTCTCATCTTGGTGTGTCTGGCCTGGACTCAATCCACCTCGTTGTCACTCCATGGCTTCATTTTCTAAAATCACGTGCAACTCGTCTGCTAGATTGTACTACCAATCCACTGCGTGCCTCTAAGTTACGGAAATTAGCGATTTCGTGTATTTATCTGTACGACGAACCTTGTGAACTCGCTAACACTTTCAGCTCCTCGTGGCGCTAAGTCTTCACAGGCCTACCGCTACTAGTAGCAATAAGATCAAACTTCAAGTTGAAATTCCGTTTTTTTTGTCCGAACTGCGGCATGAGTCAAATTGTTAATCCACGCCGGCGGAGAGTCCGCCCGCAGAGTGTGTTTGCGCTTTCAATACTACTAACAGTTCTCCTCAGCGGAGTTTTGAAAGTCCAGGCTGGTAGTAGTCGTCGTATTACTACTAGTAACTCGACTCCTAGAACGCTCGTCCAAGCGTCTCCTATCGCATTTCGTTCGTCCGGATTGTTGCGACAGCACCTCCAAGAATCCGCGCCGCCGATGGGACATGACTGTTGGAGATTACGTGTGTTGGAAGCAAGGTGGTGGTGGGGCGTTTGTATGCCCCCAACCCACCGAATGTGTGACTTGTGCTCACCTTCGAGTGAGTTGCAGGTTTGCGTGGGGTTGAGGATTGACTTCGGAAGACCCATTCGATTCGGTGCCACATGGCAGCACCAGGAACTTTCGATGTTACTCGAACATTCGCGAGTGTAGCGGTTCGAGGTTACTTGTGCGATTCGATCTTGTTTGCATGCTATAAATCTGTTTTCTTTGTATTGCATGCCATCATAGGGAAACTCAGAGTTCTTTGTACAAGGTACATTCGAACACAAATTCCAGAGAGCTTCTTTACTTGCATTCAAGAGCACCACCTAGCACGTGAACGCCTATATCTCGGAGAATACTTAGGCGATCGACGTGTTTGACGGCTCGTTGGAAAGCTAAGACAGAGCTCTATCTTTTAAAACAACTCCCAGTTCCTGCAAAGTAGAGGAGAGTCCTCTACAACAGTGGTATCAGAGCTGGTCGGAGGAGTCTACGCGCGCGACAAGGAGCACGCATGATGACTTCAAGCGAGGCCTCCCGCACTTCCTTGGATGGTGTCGTTGTAAATTCCGGCGAACCCTGGGCAACCGCGACGATGTTCGACACGTCGGCGGTACCGATTTTCACGGGACAAAACTACTCCGCGTGGAAGTTTAAGTTCCAAGTGCTCATGATGGAGCGGGGACTTTGGGGTTTCTTCGATGGAACGGAGAAGAAGCCGGACGATGAGAGCGGCATCGCGGCATGGAAGAAGAAGGACCAAAAGGCGTTCGCTACGTTGATTTCGCGCATCGGCATCAATCTCGTGAGCTCGGTGCGCATGTGCATCAAGCTCGAAGCGTCGGCGCATGAAGCGTGGAAGCGGCTCGAGACCATCCACGTGAACAAGACTCTCCACGGCAAGATCCTAGCCCGGAATGCGTTCTACACGGTGAAGATGCGCGCGGGCGAATCGATGCACGAGTTTGCGACTCGTGTGGAGGAACTCGGGGAAACGTTCATGGACCTCGGTGGAACAGTCACGGAGGAGGATTGGATTCTCACCTTGCTTTGCGGCCTTCCGGAAGAGTGGTCGACGGTGATTACGACACTCGATAGCGTGCAAGACACTTGGACGAAGGAAATGGTGGTTGGTCGGCTTCTCCATGAAGAATCGCGTCGCCGACAATTTGCTAATGAGAGCGAGGGTGCCGCCATGTACTCCGGAGGGAGTTCCGGAAAGAAGTCCAAGTGGAGCAAGGACGCAACGAAGGAATCGTCCGGTGGGAGCGAGCATCGCGGCAAGTGTCACTATTGCCGCAAACCGGGACACTTTTGGCGTGAGTGTCGAAAGCGGCCGAGCGATTGGACTCCATCGATGGCGCGGGACCAAGAGGGCAACGCGCACACGGCATCCGGCGAGGCCGATGATTCAAAGGAGTCGCTCGTGTTAGTGGCCGGCAACGGGAACAAAACTCCAAGCGACGCGTGGTTCCTCGATACCGGTGCAACGCAACACATGACGCACTCGGCGTCGCTCCTCAACAACATTGGCGCTCCGGGAGACGTCACGAGCATCGTGTTCGGAAACAACGAATCGCTACCGGTGGTCGGAGTTGGGAGTACGCGCCTCATCGTCGATAGCGGTCCGGTGGACGTGACGAACGTGTTTCACGTCCCGGGGGTGAAGGTGAACCTTCTATCCGTCCCGCAACTTGCGAAGAAGGGAGTGATCGCCACGATCGACGGTGCGAAAATGAACCTCTTTTGGAAGGGGGAGCAATTCGCGCAAGGTGTTCTCAACGGAGATATCTACCAACTCAAGACGTACCCGAGAGCGGCTTCATCCAACGTGGCGCAAGGCTCCAAGGCGACTCTCAAGGCGTGGCATAATCGGCTTGCGCACGCCAACTACGACTCGGTCAAGGAGTTGGCCAACAAAGGACTTGCGAAGGGAGTCGACGTGATCGCCGGCGACGACGAGAAGGGCATGTGCGCGGCGTGTGTCGAAGGAAAAATGGCTCGCAAGCCATTCGGTAGCCGAACGTCACCCCTCGCTAAGGACCCGCTTGCACTTGTTCACATGGACGTGTGTGGACCGATGCGGCATGCATCAAAGGGAGGAGCGCGGTTCCTCTTAGTGATGCTCGACGACGCGACGCGGATGTGTTGGACCCGACTTTTGAAGGCTAAGGGAGATGCGGTCAAGGCGATTCAAGAGTGGGCGCTCGAAGTTTGCGACGATGACAAGAAGCGGATCAAGTGTATTCGCACCGATGGTGGTGGCGAATTCGTGAATGCGGAGCTCGAGAAATGGATGAAGTGCAAGGGCATTAAGCACGACGTCACAACACCCTACACACCCCAACAAAATGGAGCGGCGGAGCGGCTTAATCGCACGTTGGTGGAAGCCGTTCGTTCTCTTCTTCAACACTCCAAGCTTGGGAAAGAGTGGTGGGGCGAGGCGAGTTCGCTAGCGGCGTGGATTCGCAACCGTTTGCCGACGAAGGTGCTCCCGGGAATGACTCCGTTCGAAGCATGGACCGGAACGAAGCCGAACCTATCCCGCCTTCGCACCTTTGGGTGCCTTTGCTACTACCATGTACCGGATCCCCTTCACCACAAGTTGCAACCGAAGGCTCGTGCGGCGATCTACTTGGGAATTGCGGCGAACGAGCCTGCGTGGCGAGTGTGGGACTTGGGCGACAAGTGCGTCGTCACGTCTCGGGACGTGGTCTTCGATGAAGACAAGTTCCCGTCGAAGGAGAAACCCACTCAACAACTCACCTTCATCCTTCCGCCACGAGAGGAGGTTGAAGAGAGTGAGACTCCACCTCAAGTGGAGAAGGAAGCCGATGGAGGGGGAGCGAACAACGAGGAGAGCATTGATGATGTCGTGGAGGTGTCACCAACCGAGGCGGCAACTACCTCCACACCTTCCTCCCTACCATTGGCCTTGACCCGCGAGCGTCGTGAGGTTCGTCCTCCCTCCAAGTACAACGACTACGCTACGGTAGCCGTTGGGGAGACGGATAAGGAGGGCGCGGCATTTTGCTTCGCAACCAAGGGTGATGATGAACACGCGAAATCTCTCATGGAACCACCCCCTAAAGATTCATCCCGTGCATGCTATGAGCATGTTGGTTTGCACACCTAGTGGGTTGGGTGCAAGGGGGAGTGTTGGAGATTACGTGTGTTGGAAGCAAGGTGGTGGTGGGGCGTTTGTATGCCCCCAACCCACCGAATGTGTGACTTGTGCTCACCTTCGAGTGAGTTGCAGGTTTGCGTGGGGTTGAGGATTGACTTCGGAAGACCCATTCGATTCGGTGCCACATGGCAGCACCAGGAACATTCGAGACCCAAGGAGAATTCGGATCGGTGAAATTCGAGAGTCGAATTTCACCCTTTCGATGTTACTCGAACATTCGCGAGTGTAGCGGTTCGAGGTTACTTGTGCGATTCGATCTTGTTTGCATGCTATAAATCTGTTTTCTTTGTATTGCATGCCATCATAGTGAAACTCAGAGTTCTTTGTACAAGGTACATTCGAACACAAATTCCAGAGAGCTTCTTTACTTGCATTCAAGAGCACCACCTAGCACGTGAACGCCTATATCTCGGAGAATACTTAGGCGATCGACGTGTTTGACGGCTCGTTGGAAAGCTAAGACAGAGCTCTATCGTTTAAAACAACTCCCAGTTCCTGCAAAGTAGAGGAGAGTCCTCTACAACAATGACAATCAGGATTCTAAAGCTCTCCGACCCGGAATCGCGCCGACCACCGCATGGTGCGTCCCCTGTTGACCGCGCCAGCCTGAGCTAGTATAAGACCGGAATGCCTGAGCAACGCCTTTCTACTAAAACTTCTTTGTGAACAAAGAACTCGCTCCATTTCCGTGGCTTTAATCATCTCCAGTCCTGCTGTATGCGTTCACCCACCTCAGGGAAGGTCAAGGCGACGCGGCGGTGACGGGCTGCCACGCGACAATCATGGGTACCGCAAAGCTCATCGGGATCTCCCCGCATTGGGGGACGGTGTGGTGCGGGAACAGGTGCGGCGTGCTGCATCGGCCGATACGCGTGTTCGTGCTGTGGTACGGCGTCTTCTCCGACGCTCAGAAGCAGACGCTCCGCACCTTCGTCGCATCACTCAGCCCCAACACTGACACCGCCGTCACTGGTAGGCCGTCCTAGGGAGAGCTCCTTCGGCTCAGGAATTACCAAGGTGTTATGTCTTGTAAAAAAATATCAGTGATGTATAATCTACTTGTTTGTTTCAGTTCCATTGTGGTGGAACATCAACCGGCTCTACTACGACATGGATGGCAACCACATATCGCAATCCGTGACGTGGGGTGGCGAGGTGGAGGACAGGGCGTACAGCAAGGGCAAGACGCTGCTCAAAAGCGATACAGAAGCCCTACTTGGGTTGGCCATCAGCAGCCAACAACTACCCCATGACCCTCGTGCCGTCTACTTCCTCCTTTCGGACGAGTTTGTCGACCAGGTGTGCTGTGATGCCATACTGTTAGATGCAGCATGTGGTGTGGTGTTGTGCCAAAGGACATGACATGTGTGGCTGGACCACATTGCCTGTTACTTTATCTCTCTGCTGCTTCTGCAGAAGTGGCACAACACGACCATGTCTCCAAAGTTCTGCACGGCCTTCTGTGGGTGGCACTTCTTCGCATGGGCCAAAAATTATGGCGACTACATCTACTCCTGGGTTGGCAAGGCAGACCTGATCGTGAGTGGAGCCTATCGAGCTCGAAACCTCAACCACTCAAACTCACCTTGGTTTGCAGCCAGACCTCTCCAAACACTCAGTTTCTCATATTCTTTCTCGCCTGTGCAGTGCCCATCATCCTGCCTCCCCAGTGACATCCGCAGCGACGCGTCTCTGGCACCCACGGGTAACCCCGGCATGGATGGCCTTGTCTCTGTGTTCGCCCACGAGCTCGCAGAAGCCGCTTCCAGCCCCTTTGTCTCCACGTGGTTCGACGAGCAAGGCGATGAGAATGCCGACAAGTGCGCCTGGAAGTGAGCAGCCCTTGCTTTAACACTCTGTGACCTGCTCATACCTTGTACCTTTCTGCCCAACCACTGATATTAGCACTTCCACTCTCCACCACATTTCCAGTATTGATACCTCCGTACTCACCTCCTTCATCCTCCTTCCTTCACGACTAAGTGAACAAACGCAGAGATCCCTCCTACCCCGTGCCTAGCCTGTAGTCTAGCTCCCGTTGAAAGAGTTCTCTTTGCAGCCCTAGCGTGCCTAGAAGCCCTGGCATGCCTAGAAGCCCTGGCGTGCCTAGAAGCCCTTGCGTGCCTAGAAGCCCTGACTGTCAGAATACTAAACGAGAATGAATGAACTAAGATCAAAGTGGGTACAAGTACTAACCCTAATTGGGTTGTACCCCACTACAGCCTACACAATATAAGCATCATAACATTTTGACACACCCCCATAGGCAAAGTGGGGGAGAACAGGAGGTGACAAGACCAGTCAAGAAAAAGCAAAGCAAGCTCAGGGTGGATCACGAAGTCACCACACATTCCGAGCACAAGCAAATGGCCACAAGTCCAGTTCACATACAGGGTTATATAAAAGAGAACAAACAGTGCAGTGATCATAACCTAGCAAGTGTAGGCATGCAGGTATATGTATATAGATCACAGTACAAGCAAAGTCACGAAGTGAGCAAGTGAGGCAAAGCAGGCACAAGGCCTAAAACAGTACAGAAATGCTCATGATCACCACGTTGAAGTGCCTTGGTGAATATATCAGTAGTGTTGACTCGAGTGGCCACGTAAGCAAGACGAAGCTGACCACGCTGCTGCAACTCTCGAGCAAGGAAGTAACGCAGAGCGATGTGCTTCGTCGGTGCTCCTGACACAAGGCAATCATGGCCTTGTTGTCTACGTACGGAACTGGAGGAGAACGAGGCCACTCTCCCAAGCCGGTCAGCAGGTAGGTGAGCCAGCGTAACTCCTGTGCAGCCATGGCCCCTACGTAGATCTCGGCCTCACAAGTGGAACTGAGAACAGAAGACAAGCAGGCAGACCGCCAAGAAACAGAGCCGGAGCCAAGGCTGAAAGTGTTACCCTGTGACGACCGCTGCGTAGCCAAGTCGTCAACCCAAGATGCGTCTGCGTGACCAGTGAGGACAACTTGACCCCGTCCTCCAAGCACGAGCCCCATGCCCGACATACTGCACAAGTAGCGCAACACCCTCTTAGCGGCCTCCCAGTGCTCTGGTCGGTGTCTCCCGGGCGCAACGTAGCGTGCCAGGATGCTAAGAGGGTAGGCAAGGTCAGGTCGAGTGCAGGTCATCATCGAGTGCAAGTCAACAAGCTCAGCAACTAGGGCAAACGCAGCAGTGGACTCAAACAAAGGGTCAGTGACAACAGTGGCTAGAAGACGAGGGATAGTAGGACTGGCAGCACGAGCTAAGTCAGACTCAGGATTAGGAACGTCAGGAGGAGAGGACGCAAGAGGCGACGGCAGGGGAACTCGCAGTGGAACAGAAGAAGGACAAAGTGCCATAATGTGAGTGTCAGGGACAGGAGTAGGACGCGGACAAGGAACACGACGACCAGTTTGAACAGCGCGAACACGCGAGGCAAGACGAGACCCACGCCCATGACGCTCTGTAAGAGAGTCTGCCTTCTAAGCGTAAGAAGAAGCAGGCAGTGGGGAGTCTAGCTGTAATTGTGGCTGCGAATCGTGAGGCGGTGGACACAGCAAACTAGGAGTAAGGCCAGTAGAAGTCGGGAGACTAAGAACCTGGCGGAGGACCGAGTCAGGTGGCGGCAGAGACAACGGCCGCGGCGGAACGAAAAACGGTCGCCGCTGCATAGTGCCTCCAGCCTAGTACCGCCAGCTCCAGTACCCCCAGCGCCAGCACCTCCAGCTCCAGGGTCTCCAGCTCCAGTGCCTCCAGCTCCAGTGCCTCCAGTTCCGGCACCTCCAGCGCCAGTGTCTCCAGCTCCAGCCCCTCCAGCTCCAGGGACCCCAGCTCCAGTGCCTCCAGCCTTAGGGTCTCCAGCTCCAGCACCTCCAACACCACCAGCTCCGACACCTCCGATACCTCCAGCTCCAGCAGTAACTCCAGCACCTCAAGAACTAGAAGCTCCAGCACCTCCAGCTCCAGTGCCTCCAGCTCCAGCGTCTCCAGCGCAAATGCCTCCAGCTCCAGGGTCTCCAGCTCCAGTGCCTCCAGCGCCAGGGTCTCCAGCTCCAGCGCCTCCAGCACCACCAGCCCCGGCAGCTCCAGTACCACTAGTACGAGCACCGCTAGGACCAGCTGCTCCAGCACCTCCAGCTCTAGTGCCTCCAGCGGCAGAGCCTCCAGCTCATGCAACGCCACTCCTAACACGTGTGCGCTGAGCAAACCACTCGCGCAACTGCTGCGGTGAGAGAGGCTCCCGCCGGTGAGGCACCCGCAGGACCTTCTTGAGACGCACTACCCCTAGGCTCAGCACCCCCAGAATCCGCACCCTCAGACTCAGCACCCCCAGGCTCCGCACCCTCAGGCTCAGCACCCCCAGGCTCCGCACCGTCAGGCTCGGCACCCCCAGACTCCGCACCCTCAGACTCAGCACCCCCAGGCTCCGCACCCTCAGGCTCAGCACCCCCAATCTCCGCACTCGCAGCCTCAGCACCCCCAGATGTAGCACCCCCAGACGCAGCACCTCTAGCAGCACGTGAGCCTACAGCGACCTCAACAGGAACAGCCAAGGGGAGCGGTTCTACGTGAGACACACCTGAGGGAGCAAGACCCTTAAGGGGGAGGGGGTCTACCGGAGGGGGACCTGGAGCGAGGAAGAGCGGCGGGGGTGGGAGAGGGGCAGAGGGGCAGTGTGGTTGGGGAAGAGATGGTAAAAGGGAACCGACTCGTCAAACGTGACTTCCTAAGAGGGGAGGAAACGGCACGAGGTGGGGTGGTAAAACTGCCAGCTAGGCGCGTCAGGGGGAAAGCCAAGGAAGACGCTGGGAATAGCGCGGGAGGAGAGCTTGTCCACGGAAGTATCGCAGACAAAGGCACGAGAGCCCCAGACCCGGAACACCGACGCATCGCCAACCTTCCCCGTCCAACGCAGTGTAGGCGAGGTCCCCGGCAAGGAGACACGGGGCCAGAGGTTGAGCTGATGCGCAGTGTACCGGACCGCAAACGGCCACAGAAAATGGGGAGCAGCCGCATGGATCATGGAGGTACGAGTGACCTCCATGACTAAGCCAATGCAGCGCTCAGCAATCCCATTTTGCTGTGGGGAGGCCGGAAGCGTGAATGAGTGGAGGATCCCCTCCCCTTGCAGTCCTGTCCACTGACGCGGGCTGGGCCCCACACGTCCATGTGGAGAGTTTGCAGGGGAGCAGTCGTCGGGGGAAACGAGGAGGATTGAGGAGCGGCGCGCTGCCGCCTCTCGACGCAAGGAAGGCAGGGCGGGGCAGGCGAGGGCGGGAGGGGAGGCAGAGACCTGAGAAGACCAGAAACAAGGAGGCGGGAGTGCATGCCACGAAGGCATGGCAGGGAGGGGTGACCAAGGCGGTGGTGCCAAAGAAGAGTCTGGTGCGACAGGAGGCGACACGAGCAGGGGGGTGCTACCTGACCTGACGCGGAAACCTGAGCAGACGCAGCTACCTGAGGAGGCTCAGTAGTCAGTGTGTGCAGACTCGACCCAGGCCGACGGGTGAACGTGACCAGGTGACGGCCCGCCCATGTACACGTGCAGATCGACACACGCTGACCCCCAGGAGTGGTGGTAGTGACCATCGCATCCTGGAGGGCAGCGGTACTCACTAAGTTCGTAGAACAAGGGGAGCTGAAGACCTGAGAGTGAGCCGGACGGAACCGCCGGACACGGGAGAACAGTGGAGGAACGGGCAAGAACTAGGCCCCCTGAGAGGTCAGCCAGTCTGACTGGAACAGGTGCAGAGAGTGGAGTGAGGGTGATACTGTCGCAAAAGAAACAACGGGAAGCACCTGAGTCAAGCGTAAAGGTGTGCAAGGCCTCAGCAGGCGCAGTACCAGGGAGAACAGACTCACTAGCACCTAGAGCAGCAGTCTCTATACCTGGGTCGGGCAGCACACACAGGTAACAGTCACCCTCAGCACTAACAGTCAAGGCATACATGGCAGCAAGGATAGCATCATAGTCAAGAGCAAAGATACCAACTCCAGACCTAAGCAGCTCTGACCAGCAGAGGCGCTCAGCCTCGTCACCAAACTCTGCGCGCCAAGCGTCGTCAAGGCGGGAGAAGCAGCGGTGCTGAGAGTGAAACTTCCCGCATGTCTGACCAGCGCAATCACCCGTGCGAATGACATACGGGCAGCGAACACTACCCCCAGACGCCCCACGCTGAGCAAACCACTCACGAAGCTGCTGGGGCGTAGGGGTCTCGCTACGACGCTGCTGCTGCTGCTGCCTTTGGCCACTGCCAGAAACTCCCATCTGAACAGCTCCACCCCGACCACCACCATTGCCGCCGCCACCACTCCCACTGCCTCCACCACCGCCACCAACACTCCCACTGCTGCCACCACCGCCGCCACGGAAGCCCCGACTCCCGCCACCACTCCCACCGCCTCCTCCGCCACCTCCACCGCCTCCACTCCCACTACCGCCACCACCGCAACCCCCACCATCACCACTGCCACCACCGCCGCCACCGAAGCCCCCACTCCCGCCACCACTCCCACCGCTGCCACCACCTCCGCCAACTCCACTGCCTCCACTGCCTCCACCACCACCACCACCCCCGCTGCCACTGTTGGTGCAACCCTACGGTTTGCATTCGGCTTGTTGTCCGTTTGTGTGCATGCGTGTGTACATGGAATGGTATGAGGGCATGAGATAATATATGTTTCATGCTTACAATAGTGTGTGAATGATGAGGCATGATTTTGAATGTGTGTGTCGAGTCAATAGCGAGTTATCGCTAGTCGCGTGTCACGTCGTCGTTTGCGTGTCGTGTGCGGAATTCTATTTTGTCGTGTGTGGAACGTTCGGCGTGTCGCAGGTGTGCGCAGCAGACTT